AAAAAAAAAATCCCCCACCATCTCCTTCCTCCCTCCACGATCCTTCACCTGACTCAGCCCCCACCACCCCAGTGCCACCCCCAATAGCTACCCCCTTCCCCGCAGGCCGACCCATCACCACCACCCTCCTATTGCACAACACGCAGCACTGTACTTTCACCCACAACAATCAATAAAGCCGTACAATTAATAACCACCAAGCCTTTAACACAACCAGCAGCCCCAAATCGACCACCGTTGAAACACCCCAATAATTCTCTCTTAAAAACCTGTAAATACCTTTAACAATCTGTAAGAGAATTACTGACGTGCTACCGCCACGTGTTCAAACGTTAAGGCTAGTTTAGAATTTAGCAGCGGAAAAACTAACTTAATTATCAATAAGTTTCAAAACCAATAATCAAAACCAAATTTAGTCTTACAAGCTGGAACCATTACAACCCTTATTCAAACCCAAATATAAGTAGTAAATAAATCAAATCAGAGTTAAAATAAATCCAACTTAAGAGTTGCAATAAACTGTGAAAATATCCAACACTCCACTCAAAATCCCACCACCTTGATGCAAGTTCTGATTGTGTAAAAACCTGTGATTAGTCTGCTCCCCAATATCACAAGTGTAAAAATTGGATCATTACAGGGTCATTGAAAAGGCGAAGGCCATGACCAGGAAAAAGACACACAAAAGCACGCAATCAGCAACGCTGAGTACATATAAGCTACGAAGTATAACAAAGAATTTTTAGCATGCGACTAATAATCATTCATCACACCCCCAAATTAATTATTGACTCATACGCACGACTCAACTGTTAACAATACTAAGACTTCACCAATTAATAGTTATTAATTCATTTCATTTCTTTTCATTCATTAAATTTAGCAATAGACAAGGTTGTCTCCCCATGCTCCAATTTGGAACATCAATAAAAGAAAAACCCCATGCCTCCTTTCGGAAACATCAATAAACATCCAATGACAGACAGGCGCGACTCCGTGGCCATAGCTAGTATGAGATCTCATCTAACTCCTTATAGTTTTAAAAGTATTTGAAAACAAGAGACTCGTAGATTAGACGACTTCTAAAAAGTACACAACTAATACCCTGTGAACCCCAACCCCTGACTGTCAATACTCTAGATGTGCACGAATCCAGAGTTTTATTGCTCATCCATCTTGTACTTTACGTGATTTACAAGTTTAAACTTGGTGATGACTCAAGTGCAAAACAACACACCCAATCATACATCAATCATTCAAACAATTCAAATTTCTAATTCAATTCTTGATTTATTAGTGACAAACAATATTTAGTATTGAATTTTGTATTGAGTTGGGCTTCTCTCTCTACTCCAAAACACTCTCTGTTCTCTCTCCTCCTCCAAACAAGCCTACTGCCGGAAACCTAGGTGCTCGCCGGAGATCCGGCGCCGCAGCCGTTTCTTCGGCAAGTTTCCTCCCTTCCCTCTCTTTTTTATTTGCCTTCTCCGGCGAGGCTCCGTCCTCATCTTCTCCCTTCTCGTTCCCCCTCTTCTTCTTCTTCTTTGTCTCCGGAGTTCCGGCGCCGCAGCGACGAGGCTTAGTCCTCCTCCTCTTCTCCCTTCTCATTTTCCCCTTTTCATTCAACTGTGGGGCAGCTTCAAACTCCGATCGAGTCGTCGCCCTTATCCATTCTCTTTTATCCTCTTAATCTCGGTCTTGAAGGGGTTTGTGACCCTTTATACGGCTAGAAGATTTAGAGTAGCCCCTGTTTACCCACCTTGGAGTGGAAGGTTCACTTTCAAAGGATTTCGCCGGCGAAACAAGCAGTCTAAGGACTAAGCCTAACGCCGCCGTCATAAAGGTCATTGGTAATTTTGACCGTGACGGAAACGGTAAAGTTAGGGTTAGGGTTTCGTGGGTCCTTGCGCTGGAGGCTAGGCCTAACTCGTCAAGAGTGTTTCGTGACGGAAACGGTGAAGTTAGGGTTAGGGTTTTGAGGTTCTTTGCTTTTATGGTTTCGGTTTTAAGGTCCGAAAGGGGCTCTCTGATTTGGTCGTTGATTTTAAGTATGTATGTATTTATTGCTATTCAGAGTTTACTTTATTTTTTAAAGTCATGTATGGTTTATTTTAGCCTTTCTTGGTTGTTGTCCTGTTTTTCTGGTTGTTTTGGCTATAGTTTATTGGATGGTTGTGTGAGGAGGGAGTTTGGATACCTTGTCAAGGGATTTGGTGTTGTTGTGTCGAGAGAGGTAACTTGGGTTGCTGTTGTATGGGGGACGAATGAGAAGTTGGTCATGGCTAGGGTGTGGTGTGTATTATGGTGGAATGACTATGGTGGTTATTCTACTCCTTTCATTGGAGTGATCATTGTGATCATTACTCTTGATGTTTTCTATCCGAAGCAGGCGCCTAAACTTTGTTTTGGGGTTTCACGAGCCTCGACGTTGTTAAACCTTTCTTGCAAACAAGAACAACTTAGGAATGATAGGTCACATATCCATGTGATCGGTTTGAAGACCTTACGTGGTGATAAGTTGATCCCACTAGGTAAATTTAAACTAGCCATGATCAAACAGTTTCGATACTCTCTGCTCTCTTTGTGTTTTGAAGTAGGTATCCGCTCTTTGGCCTATAAAGAGGTCCTGATTCGCAACTTTTCCGGCCAACTCCAGTTATGTATCTTGGTTTTTAGTGTCGAAAGTTGGAATGGCTTAATTAAATGTTAAAAGCCATAAAGTAAGGTTTAGGTTTTATTTCATATGTTGTAAACTCTGATTTTATTAATATCATTTGCTTTTGTCAAAAAAAAAAAAAAAACAATATTTAATATTGAATCCTTTAACTACCTCGGTGTATAAACACCTTAAGTGCATAAGGCACCTCAAATCCTCGACCTCGTCTTATAAGACTTTAATTCTCCCTTTACTCATTCCATTTCAATAAACATGAACGAGTATTAAAATAATTCATTTCACATATTCACGTATCTTTGCCTCTAAGCTCATCTTGCATGTTAATGCATAAATAATACTCACAAGATAAATTAATACGCATTCCTCATACATGAAACAAAACCAATTACCACATTAATCACCAATCAAACTTACTACCATACAATTCTAACCAATCTACAAGTTTCCTAACATGATTCTAAGATTTTACAAGTCCTTAAACATGCTTCTAAAGTCAAGGTTTTCACATTAACCTTCCTTTTTGCTAGAATTAAAAGCTTATATATTATTCTTAAAATTTCCTACATAAAAACATTTAAATACATACTTATTCATAAAATTACAGCAAGTTTAAAGCTTTATAAAAATCTGAAAATTTATTTTAAACAGTAAACCTTCGTTAAAAATCAAAAACTGCCCGAAAACCATATTTAAGGCAGAATTTGGCCACGAGAGGGTGGTGTTCACTACCAAAGGTAATGGGTTTTGATTAAAACGTCGTTTACACACGAAAAACATTCTTTTTTTTTTTTGTAAAAATCGGACGAGTTAGAATCTAAACGTGATTAAACGCGATTAAAAAAAAATTAAGAACGGAGATCAAAGTTGATTACAGAAAACTAAAAATTTGTTTTTAAGCTTAATTAATCAATAGAAATTCAATAGGAACAAAATCCCCAAATTAATTGATCATTAGAACCCTAAAATCCCAATTTAACTAAATTAAAACCCTAGGTTTAAAATTACAAAATCTGAAAATTAAAACAACAATTATAATCTGTAATTTATTAATTTAAAATATCAAAAACATGATTTTGATACTAAATAAACTAATTTCAAGCAATAAAAACCAAAACCCAAAAATCAATTGCATAAGCTTTATGAAAATAATAAGAAATAAAGGAGGAAGAAAATAAGACTAACCTTTTTGTGTGGGGGAAAATTTGGGATTCATCGGGTATTTATAATAGAGAATTGTAGGGTAGAATTGAGCCTCATGAAAATAATGGGCCAATTAAATAAACAAATGGGTTAGACTTTGTTTTTATAATAATGAATTGTAGGATATAGGTTCATAAAATAATTTAGCCTAAAATAATTTTTGACCCAAAATAATAATTTGAAAATTAAATTCTGAAAAAATACAAATAAATATTATAAATAAAATAAAATTTTATTTATAAAATATTTAAAAATACGGGGGATTACAACCACCCATCACCAGTCACCATGCACCCTCCTTCCTTGCACAGCAGCACGCCACCAGCCCACCACCAGCAATCAACAAAGCCACACAAAAATTGGCGATTATCAGGAACTTTATTATGAATCCGATGGAAGTCCTGACAGAATGGAAGCAATTAAACCATCAAAATTACAACAACTATTTTTCTAGGAAGCAATTAATTTAAACCATCAAAATGCGGATGAATTTCTGATTCCTCCTATAAATAACGATATGGCGCCCGTTTAATCATCATCGGAAGTTAAATGATTGGGGGAGCGGGGTCGACGCCGGCGCCGGAGTAGGGAGATCTGGGCGCAGCCGGCGTCCGAGGGCGGGGAGGGTGTGCTAGCAGACACCGGTGAAGTCGTTGCGTGTGGGGGAGGGGGAGAGGATGTGGTTGGAAGCCTGGAAGGTGGGAGATGTGGTGGCTGGGTCGTGGAGGAGGGGGAGGGGGATGGGGTAATTAAATTAATAATAATAATAATAATTTTAAAGAGTTAAAAACATTTTTAAAAAATTATATTTTCAGACCAATAAAATGATGACACGTGTTCATATAACCTATTAATCAGGTTACCAACATGTTACAACTTGTTTAAAGCGGATACCAATTAAAGGTTGTATTATTTAGAAATAATCAAAAAGTCGACTTGTTTTTAGCGGATCGCTGAAAGGTCGTATTATTTTTGACAACTTTTCCTAAAATAATTAGTGTTTACAATTTTTTTTTCTAGTTATGAAATTTCAAGATGATTATCAAAACACTAAAAAAAACGTAGTCGAATATGGTTAGCAAACTAAACAAGTATAAACTAGCATCTCGAGATATCGCTCGGGCCACTCACTAGTTGGGAATTAAAATTTGAAATATAATATTAGATTGTTTATGGGATGCAGTTAAGGTGCCATGATTGTTAAGGAGAGATTTTGCAAAAGAAATCAATACGGAGTAAAAAATAAGCATCACGGTAATTTTTTTTTTTTTTTTTTCCCTGATAAAGGTTGGTCGTGTTGAGGACAAAAAACTTAATAAGTAATAATTCACAAAATTGAGAAACTAGTGAGAATTCTTATAGGAGAATTCCTATATGAGTTTACCATTCAAAGACTGCACAATACGATTATCGGAGAAAGACAGAATTTAATAAAACATGACATGCTGTAATAATGTCCAAGACTTTCTTACACTGTATTCACACTAAAAAGAAGATGATGATGAAGTTTCCTAAGGGAAATTCCCACGAAATTTTCAAAAAACAGCTAAAAGCCATATTTAATGGGTAATGGATACAGACATACTGTTGTCTTGATTATTTCAGTCTCCAAAAAAAGAAATAATAAACTACGAAGAATTCTTCACTGCCTCAAACTAATACCAATGAGCAAAAAATGTTAATTATTACTGTGGAAGACGATAATAAGCTAGAGACGGAAGATACTGATACTTCTGCTGCAGCTTCTGATACTGAGGCAGAAGATACTGATACATGTGATGAGACGGTGAAGGGCTCTAAACCAAGATATAAAGAAGAGCCAGGTATTACCAATACTGGGTACTAAGCTCTGCATACAGTCAAATAGTCTTTTGTGTTTTATATTAGGAAAAGCTATCAGATTTTGCTAGATTTATCTATACAATTATAATATATGGAGATACGGGATTTCAAAACCAAAATATGGAGATAAAATACTTTGTTAACTTTTTTTTTTTTTTAATACATTTTTTTAAATTAATAAGTGAAACGGAATAAGTATATAGGTGTGATTGCAAAAATTAGCTAACAATGTACATGTACTGTAGAATATTATAATATCAAAAGGTTTAAGATTGCAACCAATAATAAAGCCTTCATTAAAGCTATTCAAAATGCAAATCTCCATGGAGGGGAGTGTATTCACATCTTAAATTCGTGTGCTCATTTGATTAGTTTCTTTGGTTGTAATTTTCATATGTATGTAGTGTATTTTGTTATGAGATTACTAGCGGATAATAAGTTGGTTAATTTAGGATATGTTTTATTTATCTGATTTTTATTTTTAATTATTTGAACTTAATTGAATTTATTTGAACTTTACTTATCTGAATTTATTAAAACTTATTTTAGTTGTAATTTAAACTGATTTTTACTGATCTTTAACTTGTGTGAAATTATTAAAACTTATTTTAGTTGTAATTTGAACTTATTTTTACTGATATGAACTTAACTGAACTTAACTGAAATCATCAAAACTTATTGTAGTTGTAATTTGAACTTATTTTTCCTGATCTGAACTTAACTGTAAAAATAAATAAGATAAATAGAACGGATCCTTTGGAGTAATCTTCGAAGAGAGGGCGCTTTATGTTGATACTCGTCCGATCCAAGTAAAGAATTTTTTCTGGGAGGATGTAGTTGGCCTTAGGTGGCCTTGCCACGTTTAATTTGTTGCTTAGTTGTTTTTAGTTTCTTTGTTGAATTTGTCTCTCATTTGCAATAAAAAAAACTATAGGATTTATATATTTGGTTTGGTTTTGCTTTGTAGATGACCAATTCGAAACCAACAAATTGTTGTTACCCATTTGTGCATCCGGTGTTCTCGCTCTTTCACTATTCCACTTGAGTGGTTCTACTCACTCACCAAATGAGAAGGATGCTGAAATAAGAATCGTGGTATCCGCCGTTGCTTCTGTGGTTGGATTTGTGTCCTGTTTGACAAGTCTCAAGTATCACAAAGAAAGAAAGAAAGCCTCCAAAATATTTGCTACGGTGGGCTCCGAAGGTACTGCGACTGGCTACGTTTTTCTGTTGTCTCTTTTTCTACCGTCCACTATGGTTTGGGTCCCAACCCTTGTTGCCATCATCTCAGGCGTCATGCTATTTGTTTAACCCTCTCCGTCTCAATCGATAAAGGGGTGTTTGGTATTCGGTATTTGGTATTTGGGAATTGAAGGTGGGAATGAGAATATTAAGGGGAGAATTCCTACCATTTTATTACCTAAGGAGGGTAGGTAATAAATGAATGGGATGGATATAAGTTTGAAATGACATTTTTTCCATTAATGTAAACAATGAAAGGAAATATTAATAAGGGTAAATTTGTAAAATTGTTATTTATTCCCTATAGTTGGGCAGCAGGCCAGGCCGTGCCGTGCCTCCATTTCCACCAGGCCAGCCCACGGCACGGCACGGTCCATGTGCTGGGAGTGCGGTGCTGGGCCAGCCCACGTGCCTAGCTTGTTCTTCAGTTTATTTTTTTTTTATTTTTTTTAATATAACCATACATTATTTATTTGTTATAGTTAATTAGTTATTAACTTATTTTGTATAAATTACTTTTTATTTTCTTAATGGCGAAGATGAAAATTTCAAATCTAAATGGCTAAAAAAAAGAGTAAATTGGATTTTGATTCTTTGAATGTGATTAATGCATACTTCATATTATTATTACTTGAAATATTACAAATAAATACATACTTCTTAATATTGGAAGATATAAATTTAAAAAAAAAAAAAAATTAAACTCAAGTATAAATGTATGATATTAATATAATAAGTAATAATGATAAAAATCGTACAATGATAATGATTTCGTACAAGGATATTATACAAAAATTGTCTATAATTAGACGTATGTAATCTAATCATAGTTCTTCATCTATTTTCTTCATCTTCTTCTTGTTCTTCGTCTTCGCGTTCAAGGTCATCGGCTAGTTAAATAGATTGAGAACTAGCCGAACTCGAACGGTCGGAAGCGGAGGTTCCGTCATCATTGTCGTTGTCGGCGTAAGTACGGTCCTGTGAGCGATTTTCAGCATCCAACCAATCTTTGAAACACACGCACATTTCAAGTGTTTCGGGTTTTAGACTTGTTCTTCTATCGTCTAAAATCCTCCCGGATGCGCTGAAAGCAAGTTCGGAGGCAACAGAGGAGACTTGGATACCAAGAATGTCTCGTGCCATTGCCGCCAAAGTTGGATGCTTCGAGCTTTGTTGTTTCCACCATACAAGGAGGTTGAGGCTGTTTATCTCATCGTCGTCCATGCCCTTGGTGAAGTTGTAACTCAGGTACATTTGCAACTCCGAGACATCGCTTTGCGTTCTCCTTATTGATGAATCACGTGAAAACCTTGAAATCAAGTTAGTAGTTTGTGAAAATAAATGCTTGGCCTTTTTACTTACGTTTTTGGATGGTTGGGAAGGGGCAGAGCGAGGAACGGTGCCATATTTGGTTTCATAAACTCTATATTAAGCAAAAAATTGATCCTTCACATTACTCTTATAGGTTTCTACATTATCTTCAACAAGCATGCATTGAAAATAAATGTCAACTTACATAAATGTATTTTCATACTTTTGCTCAGGATCTAATATGGAAGCAAAAATATAAATTAAAAGAATTTCAGTATAATATTTTGCCACTTTTTTCCATTTCTGAAAGATATTGATCCTAATCATTATAGAATTGATGATCAGAGAAAAGTTGGGCGAGTAAACATGCATTTGAAAGAAAGTTATGAGCACAAGGATTATAAACAGAAGAAAAACAAAATGTCATGTTATATAATAATTGTAAAAATTGCATATATCTTTCACATTTCGCCCAATTCTCCTCATATATAAAGCATTTTGTGGATATTTTTTGTTGTAAAAAATTGTTAAAGGATTCTTATAATATTCAATTGCCTTGTTTAACATTTTATAAGTGGAGTTCCACCACTACTAGAAAACAAGTCATTTCCGACGGAAAAATTCCGTCGGAATCTCCTTGAATTCCTTCTGAAAACCCTATTTCGACGGAAATTCTGTCGGAACAGGTTGTCGGAAAACATGTTGTAGGAAAATCGACCTTTTCCGACGGAAATTCTGTCGAAAACACTTTTCCGACGGATATTCCGTCGGAGGAAGAATTCCGGCACCAGACAATCTGTCGGAAATTTTCGACGGATACTCTCCACCGGAAAATCCCGACGGAATTTCCGTCGGAAACTGGTGAAATAATTTCCGTCGGAAACTGGTGAAATAAAATTAAAAAAAAAACAGGTTGCACCACCACCGGCGCGGCCTGTCACCACCTTCAGCCACCCAAAAACCTATTTTCAACCCCACCCTCACCCCACCTAACCCTAACACACCCAAACTACCCCAACAACCGTAACAACACCAACCAAACCTACCCTAACTGCCAGAAAAACCCACCACCACACCCACCTAGACCACCGTATTTCACCCACCCCACCCCACCTAACCCTAACCAAATCGAACCCACCTCACCTGCCCAAAAAACTACTAGAAAACAGGCCCTCCACCACCATCTAAACATCTACCTTGAACCCGTCTACCTTGACAACCACCCACACACCACCCTCCACCACCATCCACAATTAAAAAAAAAGAATAAAAAATTCGAAAAAGTAAGAAACAAAAAACTGAAAAAAATCTAAATAAAAAATTTTGCAAACTAGATCTAAAAACAGAAAAAATTCAAACCAAATTAATAGAAAAAAAAGGAAGACATACCTTTAATTCCACCGGAAAAACGTCGAATTTGGGCTTTAAAGGTCAAATTCGACCATGAAAACTCTAGATCTAGAGTTTTCATGGTCGAATTTGACATGAACAACCTTACTTTGTTCAAAAAATTATAACCCACAAACATATATGTTGATTATACTGATGATGAGGCTGATTCTCTCAAAAAATTAAAAAATTAAAACCTTACTTTGTTCATGGACGAGAGGAAGGAGAAGAGGAAAAGAGAACAGCGAGAAGGAGAGGGAGGCGAGAAAGACGAGAGAAGAAAGAGAGGAAAGAAGATGAGAGAAGAAGGAGGCGAGAAAGAAGGAAGGGAAAGAAGATGAGAGAAGGAGGCGAGAAAGACGAGAGATAAGAGGAAAGAGAAGGGGAAAGAAAAGAGAGAGGAAAAGAGGAGAGAGAAAGAGATTCAGAGAAACTGAGAAAGAGAAGGGGAAGGAGAAGAGAAGAAAAGAGGAGAGAGAAAGAGAGGGCGAAAAAAATAAGGGGAAAGAGGCGGAAAGAATAATATTCCGACGGAATTTTTGATTGGAAAATCGGTTTTGATTTTTATTGGTCTTATCTTTTGTTGTTTTAGAAAACCTTTCCATTCCTTTTATCTCATGTTAGAGCTATTAATAGACATAATAGTTTCTCTAATTTTGTTATAGTATGAACCAATTTCTTTAATTCCATCTTGTACACATAAGTTAAGAACATGGAAAACACATCTTGTATGAAGTGCATCACCATCTAATATTACATTGGTTAAATTTTGTTTCACTAAATTAGTTGTATATGTCTAAGGTTGTATTCATTTATAGCTTTCATTAAATGGTGAACAATGTTAATACCGGTGTGGGGGTATTCTAGCATTTTGAAATGGATTATTCGTTTTTGTAACAAATATTGATCATCTACCCAATGTCAAGTCACACATAAATAGTGATATTTATAACCATTATCTCAAGAATCGGCAATCAAAGACACTCTACAATTAAGTTTACTCAATTCGTCTTGTAACCACATTTTGTATTTTAAGAAGTTTTTCATGGCGGCGAAACGAACGATTTCCTAGAGATTCTTTTATATTGGGGTTTTAATGCTTTATTAATGAAATGTTAAATGGGTCACTTTTGGAGAAAAGAAAAGGTTGTTCGGCGTGTACTATCATTTCCCTAGTTCATCCCTATCCCTCTCATAGTCGTAAGTAAAGTCGTGTGGATGCAATTGGGAAATTTTTGGCTGGGTTGGATCACTAGATGGTTGTGCACATGTTTTAAAGTGTCTACTTAAGTGTCCCGTCCCAGCCTTGGATGTGGCCGAGTATATTTTACCACATGTTTTACATTTTGCTCTTTTTTGTTCTTTATTTAGCAAAAAATAGTTCCATACATCACTTTTGCAGCTTTTAATATTTATCATGTCTTGTTCGGTTAACCATTGCACTTGTGTGTTTGGGATTTGGGTGTTTGAAGATTCGGGGGTTTGTTGTTGAGTAGTAGACTCGGAGGCAAACAGGCTATCTTGTTCGTTACCTTGGCTAGTATAAAAATTTTGTGGGTCAAAGAAATTAGGTGGGAATTGACCGAATTGTGGAAATTGGTTTTGTGGTGAAAATTGGGTTTGTGGAAATCCGGGCATATTCATGTTATAGGGTTGAAAACCGGAAGTACCACCATGCCTAAATTGCTCAAAACCTAGGGGGGCGGTTCCGGGGTCATTGATCGGACTCGGAATTGGGGGGGGTCATTGGATTAGGTGATTCCCTAGAACTATTACCACGGACAAATTGGGCTTTCTTAGAGGATGATGGGTTGTTCATGTTTGGTGATGCCATAATTAACAAATTAACAATTTTAATAATAACATTCATAATAATTAATAACAACAATTATAACAACAACAATAACAATAATAATAATTAATAACAATAATTATAACAATATTAATAAGTAATAACAATAATAATAACAACAATAATAACGATTAGTTAGATCTTACAACCGTGCTTCTACGCTTTCCACTAATTACGATTACGAACTTTTAATTTTTTTTCGATATTAATAAATAATAATTAGAGAATATAAGAGATTAAGAGAATTAGAGATTAAGATAAGAAATGAGTTGAATTGTGATTTGGAAGTGAAGTGAAATTTGCTATTTATAAAAAAAATGGGCGACCACCGTGCCGTGCCGGGCCAGCTGGCGGGTCGTGTCATGCCGCGCCGACCAGCATGCCATGTCGGGCTGCCCGCAGGCTGGCACGGCCCGTGCCCAGCTTTATAATTCCCTGTATATTTTAACTCACTATTCAAACAAGGTATTGGTATATTTTCATGAATGCCCAACAATTAATTTTCAATCTCATTCCCACCTTTTAATCCCCAAACTTCCATTCCCACATTCCAAACGCCCTGAAAAAGATACGAAGTATAACATAAGATGCTAAAAGATATAATTATCAGTCCGAGACTTGTAAATAGAACTTACAACTTGAAGCGACAGTGGTATCATTGAGTTGTACTCATCTTAAATTGTACCATTGCTCGTTTTCTTTACAAACATCAGTGTATGCGACATTGGTATCATTGAGTTGTACTCATCTTAAATTGTACCATTGCTCGTTTCTTTTTCTGACATCATTATATGCGACATTTGGTATCATTGAGTTGTACTCATCTTAAATTGTACCATTGCTCGTTTCATTTACTGACATCATTGTATGCGACATTGGTATCATTGAGTTGTACTCAGCTTAAGTTGTACCATTGTTCGTTCCTTTTACTGACATCATTGTATCATT